CTAGACAATGATTTCGCTAAACAGCGATTTCAGTGGAACGGATTATCATCGTCTAGCGAGGCACCACTGTAGTCCTAGAACAAGCTGGAATTTTTAGCATGTATACATTACTGAAACAGCGACATCTATCTTGGCTTGGACATGTCGTGACAATGGCTGATGGTTGGATTCCAAAAGATCTCCTATATGGAGAATTTGTGCAGGGAAATTGCCCCACAGGGAGACCACATCTGCGATACAAGGAGATCTGCAAGTGGGATCTGAAGGCCATAGGAATGGACCTCAACAGATGGGAAAACTTGACATCTGAGCATTCAGCCTGGAGGCAGGTGGTGCATCATGGCCTTTTGCATTTTGAAGAAACCCTTCTCCAGCAGGCCGAGGCAAAGAGGCAGTCCCACAAGCAGCAAAATCAGGGACCTGGACAGGGGATAGACTGTATTTGTCTTCAGCGTGGAAGGGATTGTTACTCTCAAATTGGTCTTCTCAGCCACACTAGACGCTGTTCCAAGTCCTCCGTTCAGAGTACGTTACCATAGTCTTTTGAGACTGAAGTATGCCTAATAATCTCCACTGTAATGCATATTAGCTCTCTTATGTCCCAATAATATTTTGACACTGGATACATTATGCAGTAATAGCACTTTTTTATGTTCTCAAATTGTTGGCGGTTTCTTTTCCTAAATCAAAACTTGAGTGAACCAGCTGCCACCTCGGGTTCACTCTGGAATATTTTATATCACAGTTAAGCTCTTCAGAAATTGGAATTTATATTTTTAAAAGACTATTTATAGTCACATTTTTGTTTGATTTATTGGGACATTAATAGCTTAATGTATGGGACACTGTGAAGATGTATAACAATTGTGTTTGATAAAACTAAAAGGGAAGTGTCATATTTCTGAGACACACATTTGTATCTATCTATTCTGTTCTGTCTATCTATCTCACAAACATGTAAATCAAGTAGGGATCTTCAAGGAGTCAAAATGGCACCTTTTATGCACAAGAAGGAAGGCAACGGGAGGTTTTTGATGAAGGACATTTAGAATATAAAGCTCACATATTGCTCTAAGCAGATTTGTCTCACACACTGTGGTGAACCTACTCATCATAACCTGTTAGCTCCACAATAGCATTTTATAGAATTCTGCTTGTGCTCAAATAAGAGAGGCAGGCAATCTTCACATTTAATCATAATCTTTCAAAGATTTTCTGGAACAGCATCGGGACTGCAGGACTTCAATGACATTTTTAAAGTACAGCTTCCAGAGTATCCCAGCCAGATGTCCTGGAGTCATGTTGGCCCTGTCTCAGAGGAGGAAGGAGCTGCCCTCCTTCCTGGCCAACTCCTTCCTCCAGTTGGCACATCAGTCAAGTCCGTCTGCCTTCTGAGTGTTTTTTTAAAGTCTTTCCTTCCATGGATCCAACCTATTGGCATCAGAAAGGGGACCACAGGTGTGAGAAAGTTGGGTTGCCTGTGTGGTATAAAGATGCTTGGGAGTTTTGGGGGGAAGAGGGTCTTTTTTTGCCTTCTTCTGCTTGTTTCCTTTACTTCAGCCATTCTTTTGTCCTCAGTGCTACTGGCTCTAAGCAGCACATTGTGTTTCCTCCTGCTTCTGTTTGTAGCACACAGTTTTTATATGTCCAATGTGACATAGTTTACTAACATAAGCTATAGTATGTCATACGGTTCTCACTGCAGTTAATGCCACTCCCAGGTGCAAGGTACCTGTACACATAGGTTAAACAAAGTTATTTTGAATCATGCCCAAAATAATGCATGTCCTAGCCCTGTACCAGAAAAGT